GGTGTGTCACATTCACTGAACTTAAAGTGACCATCTTCTAGCGATTGGCGTTGCACAAAATTGTTGGACGCCCCACAATCGACTAGAGCTCGAAAGGACAACTTATTCGTCACTTCGAGTTTCAAGGTAATGAGTGAGATCTCATTACCTAGAGCAGCAACGCACAATGTTTGTGTGTTGGGAGCAACCTTCATCAAGAGGCCTACAAATTCTCTTGACGTTGCTGGACCAGTAGGGTGCTCCGCACCTACTGATCCTGTCCGTTTTTTTACGGTCCATCCCGTTGTTGCGTCTTTGCACCAACTGCGGACCCTCGTCCCTGCCCCTTTCTCATGGGTGGACGGTCACTACGCCCAGTGTCGCGAGACACTGGACGAGGGGCACTACACTCGTAAGCGTAGTGTCCTGTCTTTTGACATCTGTTGCATCTCTGCAACTTCTTGTAGTATGTAGAGCGAGCCTTCTCGCTCTCAACATAACAGAGTTCCATCGGCTCTGTACCTCCGTTGTCATATCGTCTCGGTTGAAGATATGATGTCGAGCTGGCGCGAGCCTGTCTCAGACTGAAGTCTTCCTGCTCCGCAATGGAAATGGCTTGTTCTAGTGAATCTAGTTCAAGTCGGAACCGGTGAGTCTTGACGGGACCATCCGCAAGACCCTGCATGAACACCGAAACCAAAGTGTGTTCATCCACCGGATTGGAACTTATAAAACTCGTGAGATGTCGTATCTGTTGCGCGTAAGCGTGCACATCACGCTTACCCTGCTTGAGCTTCAAGAGTTCGGTTCGAGCTCTGAACTCAGCTCTAGGCGGTTCAAACGTTTGTCTGAGCCGCGACTTGAAGACATCAAACGATCCAAACGCATATGGGTCGTGCAACTTGAGCCCCAGTGCCCAAGTCTTGGCACGTCCTGCCAGATTTGACTGGGCAAATGCAACTTGCATTTCCCCATCATCGATGCGACGCGCCCTTATGGCGTCATCCAATTCGAAGAACCATCTCAGGAGGGAGTCCTCTTCGACTCTCCTATACTTGGAGATGTCAATCTTCAAAGTCTCGAGTCGACGCGAGTGCATCGACCCACCAGCAGCAGCCTGCTGCTGTCTCAACAGTTCAAACTGTTGAACACCCTGTTCTCTCAACAACTCTGCTTGTTGAGAACCTTGTTGGTGAAGCAAGGCTACTTTCTCGCGTTCGGCGTCAAGTTCATTTTGAATGAACTTGGCGATAGTAGCATGTTGGGCATCTCTATTGAGAGCCTCTAGCATGACGCTAACAGCATGGATGCCCATGGTCGAACCCATTCGTTCAACCGCATCCCATTCGACATCGCTCAAATGGGAGTAGCCGTCACGCGTAGCGTGAAAGCTTTGGTCATCTTCATCATCCAACATATTCATGTTGGATGTGAACGTGGTCCTTGGACGGACTACGAAGTGCTACCAGGTGTAACGGGGCACCCTGAAGCTTGTACTGGTGACAGTACAAGCTACTTATTCTGATGACAGAATAAGGCGGTGCCTCGTAACTTCACGTACACTCGTACGTGCAGAGGAAGACGGTAAGGAGAAGCGAGTACTTGGTTAAAGTAAAAAGTAGAACTGTATTTATCATAGTTAATGTCTGTTAATAAACCACTGTTTATCCTCATCTAACTATGTCGAAATACAAATGTGCATATCAACTATCTGCTCACCACTCATTGCGTGCGTCTGTCGTGGCGCATCTTCGTTGGTTGATATAATGGCCTATATCAAACAATAAGGAACTACTCGTAAGTGCCGCAGAATATTTGTCCTTATGACAATATTCTGAGAATATAACTCTTATAGTTATATTCTATTAACAATTTCTTATAAATTGTTATGTAACGGTTCACCTTGTTACACGTGGAAGAAGTGAGTGGTCACGACGTAGCATGCCAGAACTGAAATATTTTATCAAATGTTGTACTCACTCATTGTGTGCTTACCAAAGCAAATAAAAATTAGCGGGTCTTTGTCCTCGATCAGTAAGATATGATGTAGGTGCCATACGACTCATGCTGTGCACTATCTGCCATGATCCTACTGTCTCGTAACAGCAGTTTCTCAGCCTGAGCAAATGCCGCCGCAATCACGAACTCGGTCCAAGAAATGCCGATGGTCTGCGCTTGTATTTAATCGAATGCGCCGCGGGGCTCATCGTCTATAGTTGGCGTGAACAGGAGCCGTCCCGCTGATAGCGGTTGCCTCTCGGCAGCCTTTATCCAACAAATTTCGAGAATTACGTTGTCACTTAAAACTTTCACCCTCCATATGGTGATTACTCAGAGTCTTTCAGTGCACGCACTCGGCGTTCGTGGCATTCAGTGGAGACGCGTCATCGGTAACTAGTTCCAGACTGCGCTTGGAGAGCAAACGCGATTCCGTTTAAGCGCCGAATTTATTTTAATACCATCATATACGACCAGTGTGAAGTCCAACATGGCGACCTGCGCGTCTCGCTGCTAAAGGTCGACAACGTCGTCGTTACAATTATCGGCACGTTCGTCAAAGTGGTTTTAAATAATGACGATAGATACGTAATAGTAAGTGCGGCTAGAGATTGCCATCCACGATAACATATTGACAACAGGTTGTGTCTGTTGGCTTTCTTGCAGTTGCAGGGATCGGCGGCCGGTCGAATCGTGCGTGAGTCACACAACTATTGGGGAGTAAATCAAATTAAATCTGATATGAAAGATTGCAGGCTGTCAGATTTTTATAAAATCCGTAAAACCCGATTGTAAAAACCACATGGTGTCAGCCCTGACACATAAGAACTTTATAGCTATATTATGTTAGACAGGTTCTATCGAAGTAAGGTATCGGTTTTTCTTACAAAAAAATGCACCACAGAATAAGAGCTAATTACAAAATAAAGATGTCTTTTTTACAGTCCTCTATGTCTCGAACCGCAAGACATTTGTTAAAGCTCGAATAATCTGGACCAAAAGACATGAAAGTGGCTGTTGCAATTTCCCAGCGCTTTTTACAAAAAGTTGTTTGCAATGCTACGATCAAAATGTCAGATTAAAACTCCATGCGCCACAATTGCACGCCTGCAGAATTACCGTTCACATGCCCGAAATTGAGACGAACTGACATTACATGTGCACCTTGTCCTTCGTAACACCGACTTAGAGCTAGAAATACTGTCAAATGTTCTGCAGACTGTAGCTTCTGTGATGTTTTGCTTGCAAGACCAAAAACGCTCATCAGACCAAAAAGCTCATTAACGGCTTCACGAAAAGCCCATTGGAATCATGCAAGCTACCCACAAACCTAGCCGACCCGTCGGGTCGCGAGAAGACACTCACTTTTGGTGAGCGGCAGACGTCTGACTTTTGCGCCAACTTTACGCATGCACTGAACTTGAAGATGAAGTCCAGTGCATGCATAAGGTTACTGCAGCACCGATCGTTCCATTCTTTCGCAGCTCCGAGGTCTCGAAAGAAAAAGTAATTGATTAGTAATGACTGTGGCCGTGGATGTAACGAGCTCTACACTGCGACTGAACTCAGAACTGTATGCCAGTGCACCCATCAAGTTAGTAAATACTGCTAATTACGCACCTGGTTTACAAGGGTTCAGGAGTATCCCCGTCGATGCAAGGCCAGATGTATGGCTCAATGATACAAGTCTGCCCATTTCTAAGCTTTGCATGGCGTTGGCAGCACTACGTGTAAAAAGCGTGAATGAAAGACCATGAAGAACCCAAATAAGCGCATGGCTCGTCGACGTAAATTTGTCTGAGCTCTAATTGCACGATTGCCAAACTGATCTGACGTGAGCTTACGAGGCAAGTCTCGATACCCTAAACCAAATCAGCTCTCTGAGATCGAACAAGTCAGTCGATAGCTTTGCCTCGCAGCACTGGTTTTGTTCCGTATGAATACAACTATTCCGGATCGGCACAGCTCCAGATGAAAGCATGTTTGACGACGCATCACATGTGAGGAATGCGTGATCGTGTCATCACTGAGCCGATGAAACTTCTGTGAGACCTGCCCAACGCAACACTGCGCTGCTCTAGTGCGTCAGTGATACTGAACATCCGAAAGTCAATACGCTGCTGAACGGATCGTCATTGTAATATGGCGATATGCTGCAACGTAGGGCTCAACTAGAAATCATTTTCGGTGCTGACAACGCCACTTCAACTTTCCGTTTCAACACATTACACCTCGTGTGCTGACGACAGCTTGAGCGAAGAAGTTGCATCACAAGGCGTCGATCGGGAGTAGTAGTGCAAGACTTCTCGACTACCACAAAACAGCAGGAGTCGCTGATACTGCCGTATATTGTCAGTTAGCTGTACGTCCATAGCAACGCCAACTCAGTCGATTTCCACTACGAATGAACCAACTCGATTGCCTTGCAAGCAACACATACAGACGCATCGCAGGCTGATCTAACTCCATTTTCTTCTGCACCTACCGCAGTGAACAATGCTACAATATTTGCTCGGCTTCGGGCGTGAGGACAGCCTTGCAAACAAATGTGTGCTGGCGCCAGAATAGACATCAAACGTTGCATACGTATCTAGCTGCTTCACACGGCAGTTCTCGTGGCAACACCTGACTCCTGTCCGCTCTAGGCTGATTCGCATCGTTGCCTCGCAGGTCACCGTGATAGTTTTTACTGCTCGCAACAGAGTGAGTTCAGCTGCTTCATCGCTCTCTCGGCACGACTTCGGACGGCAACATTGAATGACACCTCTTTCGCCGCCAGCAGCAAATGTGCATACCAGCCGAGACCTCGGCACGAGGACAAAAGCAAAGCAGAGTTGGTCGCAATTGCTTCCAATCGCATAGGCACCGAGTCCACTTAGTCGTGAAGCCGAGTTGGGGTCAACCTGATTCGTCCTCCAGAAATCAGAAGTAATGGTCTGGTTGAGCTAAACTCCAACGTCCTTATCCCACGCTACTGCTTGAACTAAAAGCGTTTTTAGTCGGAACTACAGTATCTTCCAGATTTAAGACGACCGTGCAGAAATGTCGTTCGTGGCGTGGGGAGACACGACAAAACCCTTCAGCTTCTCGTCCATTGGTCGGGACGCCGGAAAAACTAGCAAAAGCCGCATGAGCGCCGAACATAAATCATCTCCGACGTCTCCTCGCCAGCCGGCTCCACGGAATGCTCTTTGTTAAGTTGACACTTGCCTCCTCGAAAGTTGACGCGTGTCTAGCACGTTGTAAGTCCAATGGTTTGCGGCTGCAGTCGTAAGTCGACACCATAATAGTAGTCTCTCTCTCGCTTTGTGCTGGGAAGATTCCGCTCCATCTCCGAGACTTGACCCATAACGTTCACTTTTCAATTCATCACCGCCATCCAAAACGCGCTTCCTTCCTTCCTTCGATACTCGTCATGCAAACCACGGACGATGAATTCAGCGCGCTCAAGTGCCGCTACGCCAGCAAACGCTGCTGGAATCTACGCGCCATCAAGCGCAATGGCGAACGCCACAACTTGTGCGAGATGCACCGCCAAAAAGCCAACAGCAATCAACGTCGCCTCGACAAGAAGCGCAAAGCCGGACAAGTCCCACTGGGTCTCCCTGCTCACTTGCCACAGCACGCCGGTGCCGACCTCGAGCGTCGGATGCGCATGCGCGCGTCCATTGCACTCAAGCTGGAGCGAGAGCTCGGTGGGTTACCGCTCACGATGCAGTACATCCGTCCTCCCTCTCGGACAACTGCGTCCCTTGCCGAGCTGCAGCGCCCAGCAGGTCTCGAGACATTGGGGAACGTCCCGAACCGCCACTTGGCGTACAGTAGTGACATGGAGTCATGGCGGGAATCTGCTCGGTGGATGGACGCGGCGTACCCACGAAGCCCTCGAGCCATGCTCCGTGCAGCGGCTATGGCCAAAGGAACGCCAGCTTCAGACGCCCACAAGTGGACACATCGGGACTTGTCGAGTACCCCTCCCAAGACAGCACCAGCAGTCGCTCTTCGGGATGCCGCTCCATCGATGCTTCTGCCATCCATTGCTACGGCAGTCGCAAGGTCGGGCGAAGGATTACATAGGACGTCGGTCATGCTTCAGCGCGCCTGGCAGCCAGAGATCCGACGGCCTCCAGCCCTCGTCGCTCGTGCCAACATTTAGAAGTTTGTTTTCCCTGTAAGTAGAGAGACTCGAGAATGTACAACCCAGTGGGCAGCTCTCGTGAGCGAGCCAGACAGTGGATAATAAACGCCGCAGCTAGTTGTTGCTCCATGCACAAGCACGATCCTATTGCACCCATTCATTCGTTTATTCACTCGTTCCTCTCCTGGTGGCGAACCAGACGAGATCTGGATTGTAACACGGAACAGGTTCTCGGCTTTGTCCTGGAAGAAACAGAGGGCGCGATTACAGTGGAAGCTGCTGGCTCTGTCCACCAGGTGTCAGTGGACATCAGCACCTGCTTGTCATCATCGTCAAGCATCGATGCCAACTCCAGAGCGGTTATCGCCGTTAGTTGGTACTATTTCGGAAGGAAGCCCTTGTGTCCGAGCCGTCAGGTCTTGTGCGGTCCTCCTGCAGCTTTCCCGCCTCAAAGCGCAGTCGGTCATCGGGACACAAAAACACTTGGAACCCGATTCAATCGAGGTCAAGTGGGCGCTCCAGCTGCAAAGCGCGATGGCGTCCGCGTGATTGATTTTCTGCGCTGCACGTATGTAGAGTCCGTGCAAAAGGGACGCGTTCAACCATCTGGTTCACCCACTTGACTGGAGCCATCGTGCTCGATTTGCCGAGCCGCAGAGTGACGGAAGGGATCTTTCTTCCAGCAGCTGCTGACGCTGGGCGACAGTCTCTCCTTCTCGCGACAGCCGTGCGCTCATTTGCCCTTTTGCCGTCTCGACCACAATGACCTCCTCTCGTCTCTGCGCAGTCGTATCCAGTCCGTCGTCACCCTCCTCCTCCTTCTCTTCCGAAATACACGCGGTCATGGCACCGTCACCCCCAAAGCAGTCGCAGCCGCAGCACGACACCGACGTCATGTGCCGCTACCCGAGCAAAAAGTGCTGGAACCTGCGCGCGCTCAAGCGCAACGGCGAGCACCACAACCTCTGTGACTTCCACCGGCAAAAGGCCAACAAGAACCAGCGTCGACTCGAGCTCAAGCGCAAGGCCCGTGCGCAGGGGTCCTCGGACTTGGTGCTTGGTGACAAGAAGCGTCTCCGTGCACTCAAAGACACGAGTTCCGCTCGTGCTCGCCGGGCGCCTCTCAGTGCTCACTTGGCGATGAAAGAGGAGGCGAGTGCCAAGCAGCAGCAGCAGGAAGGTGAAGCTAACAGAGCGACTGCAGTCTCGGGGCTCACAAGCTGGTTCCTTCAGGATCTCGTGCTGTTAGACGGCGTGTACGACCGAGCGGGCTTCCAGGTCAAGGACGAGCTACCGTTAGCTACTGCTGCATTCATGTCACCTATTCCTTTTATCGAACTAACTCATCCACCGGATGCGGTGGACGTGGAGACCCTGGCGCACATTTTGGCGGACGCACAGGACGATGGCTGCAAGAGCTTGGAATACGCGACTTCTGGGCTGGACGTGCCCGTGTCAATGTATGAAGGCAAGACTTCGCCTGTGGACGTTGGCGAGAGCTGGGACAGCCTCGATCTCGGGGCTGCGTCGTGGCTGCCAGTGGACCAGCCCAGTGGGAACTTTGATGCGTCGGCTTTTGTCATGGATGAAGAGATGTTTGTCGCGGACGTGTGAACGTGCCGCTCCTATTTATTTTATTGTACAGATCAGGGATGCACTCTCAGTCACCGAATAAAGCCGAGCAAGTTTGTCTCGTTCTTTTCTGCTGCAAAGGTCGAGCTCATTACTAAACTCCTTACAGGGCATCACGAGACACTCGTGGCTGATGCCGGTGTCGGGACACGTGAATTAGCTTGGTCCAAAAAAAAGCACAAGGTCCGATCATGTTGACGGACAGACACGCAGCCGTGGTGAATGGTCGTACACTGCTGCGGCTGTTTGTCGCAGGTGTCGCCCAGCAGCAGGTGTAAAGGCGCCTGCACCGCACGACGAGATTTTCGATTCGATCGTCAGGTGGCGTAACTTCTACTTGGTCTTTTTCTGTGAGATACTGAGTACTACTGTCCACCCCTTCGGCTATGGCAGTCATCAAGCAAAGATGCGCTCGGGAAAAGTTGTGGAAGTGAAGTGGGGCCTTTGACGAGACATTGGGATTCAGGAACAGGTTGGAGGCTTAGGCTGTCTATTACAGCTACTAATCACTACAAGATGTTTGGTTGTGGGGTAATCACCTCGTGTCATCATCTACCATGACACAGGCTTACTACTCCTAGCTTTCTCACTCTGCTGGCTCAAGGCGCCGGACGTCACGGCGGAGCACTCCCAAAAGAGCCCGTGGAAACTGTCCGTTGACCAAGTCCGGGGTTAGATTCTTGTGTGCACCCTGCCGGTTGGCGGGGCTGCTCTCGCGCTCGGGGCAATTTGATCAGGGGACATAGGACGCTTGACTAGGAGTCCTGTTACCACTGCGGTAGTCCCAGCGAGCCATCTTGACGTAATTCCTGGCCATCACCTCGTAGTCGACTATTTGCTTTTTAGGTCGGCCCGGGCTCACAACGTGCTCAAATGTGCCCAGACGCACCACTGGACGAGAGTATCTGGCTCGGTGCTACTGTACCTAAACAACTGGCACTAGATCTCGACGGGAGTCATCGTGGTCGTGGGGGAGTTCTCTTCGTGGGACTGAACTTGCGTTCAGCAAATGTGTCGACGAGTTGTCGGCAGACCGTGAAGAGTAGGAACTTCTTCGTTTTGCAGGGTGATTCGATCCATCGTCGACGTGCCCTGCACTAGAATAGTCTGCGGACCGCTTCTCCCTCGAGTCACATGCTGCGCTGCCTCCCGTAGCACACGCAGCGAGAAGAAACCATCCCTCCTTTTTTGTCTTGGCTCCACCATCAGGGACTTCCCGCCCAAGAAAAGGGGACCAGTTTCCTGGATCCACAGAAGGTCTCATCTCTGTCCGATGTTGCAGCTGGCTGTCGATTGGGAAGTTGTTTGGGATTCAAGAAAACATTGCAGCATGCAAGAATCTGGTTACGTCAATTACCGGGATTAGCTTCGGGAGATCTCGAGTTTCACTGTAGAGACGAGACGATGTGACAATGCAGTTTGACCTCCTCGCTTCCCGTAGCTGAACTGCTTCACTTTGTCGTTTTCAGCGTCATGAGTCTCCACTCTACTTAGATAGACATGACAATAATCATCACCGACATTTTCGACTCATGCTCGTCCACTACTTGACGAAGAGTGAAGAAACAATGAAGCTTTTTTACGCACAAAGAGAAGCTACTAGTGTACAAGCACCCACTACAGACGGGTTCGAGAAATGCTCTAACTTGCTCGTGAGTGCAACGAAATTCGATAGCTGCCAACTTCCAATCAGTCTTCTAATGCTACGGCTGCAAACAAAAGCCCAGCAACACAGCATGTTGACGAAACTCATGATGTCGAACTACCAAACAACATTGACGAAGTTAAAAACACGGCAGTCAACTACAACATCTACCCAGTTCGATGGGCAGCGTGATTGCATGATGCCTTCAGCTGACTCGTCTAAGCTCAGATGCAGACCAACCAACGTTTTATACAAAGAACTAGCTGAGATCAGAAGATGGTGCTTCGAGAAGACACACCCATGATAGAACACGACTTGCAGCTATGCTCTAAAAGACGAAGAAGCGAGAGAAAATAGAGATGCGTGAAACAAAGATTGGAAGGAATCGAAGTGTCCACGCAAGCAACCAGAACCTGAGATCAATGTTCAGTCATGCCTGGATGCGAAGAGCAGGCACGCGCCACATTTCGATCGCTCATCGCATTTAGAACAACGATAACGTGGCACGATGGCGCAGATCGGAGCCATCTAGCACGCTCGACGACTCACCGTCGCTTATGCTTCAATTTTAGCCTTTTTGCTGGATGATCGTCGAGACTTCTTCGAGGACCTGGGCGTGGCAATCGGCTCACGACTTCCTTCGGGCACCTTTTCCAGCACAAACTTCTCCAGGTCACGGAATGTTTTGTTGTCAATGTGGTCAATGACAATATCCAGCTCGTCCGGCGAGCTTTTATCGAGCGCTTTCGGACACTGTTCCTCCAACAGCTGCACAATAGCGCCCATTTCCTTAGGTGCTACTTTGTATATGTTTTGACTGAAATAGATCTTTTCTTCTAGACTCGGAGCTCTGGATCATCATGCAACACATTAGAATCAAACGGAACTACGGACTGAGCGATGCCACCGGAGCACAAGTGCAACGTACGGGATACTCTTGTCAGCCCTAGACACCGGACCCACATCCAGCTTCATTGTCTTGACCCGGTCCTCGAACTTCTGAGCAAGGTCATCAGCTAGCAGATACAGGTCGGATCCGTCCTGATTGTAGAGCTTGCAATTGCTCCACACGAGCCGCATGTCCCGCGCAAACTCTGATGGTTTCTTGTACTCGTTCTTAGTCAGCTTACTGCGAATGGTGCCCAGGTCCATAGGTTCCTTGACTACCTGCAGGTAGTCGTACAGACCCCATTCCTCCCAGTTCACACGTTCACGAAAGGGCTCTACAGTGGCACAAACACGAGACAAAACAGATCTGTCACCAGCAAAGTACTAGGTTATGATTGAACCCGATTGAAGCTGCTACTCACCACAGCTATCCAGTTTAAAGAAATGCTCCAGGACGTCGGTACATTTTTTCTTGTTGTCGGGATCCATTATACGTCAACGGAAGAACTCGACGGCGATCGATTGCAAGAAATGCAGATATCTAAGCAAGGCAGAGAAGAATAAACTAAATACGATAAGAGGGTAAGTCGGTGTGCACCACGGGGCGTCGCCCCAAGCATCGTGACGCAGTCAAGGGCACTACTCCTACCTAGGGAAGTAGCGTCGAGTATCGACTGTGACAGGGAACGTGTCCGATGTGGCGTGGTGTGGTGCACTGGAGCCAACCTCTGAATGGCTACACTTGTCTCTGCAGACTAGAAGCAAGTCGTGTGTGTTTTTCGTGCCTATCCATCGTCTTTTGCGGTCAGTCGTCGTTTCATTTGCTCCGATCAGATACTGACTAGGCAGAGGAATGCAGACAGCTGAAAGTGCGCTTTTGCCACGGCCTGTTCGGAGACCGTGTCAGTTTAACAATAATAAAGTCAAGGTAGTCGTGGAAGGTGAGCGTGCAATTCCATCATGGGGCCATACTTTAGACGAGTCGAATGCAATGTAAACAGAATGGTGCACGTAATGGCAGATCCGGCTTGATCACGTGTAGGCTCTTGCATGCTGACGTCTTCACTTGAACCGCAACTGAAGTAGTCGTTTCTCAATGGTGGGTGCTCTATGGGAACTTCTAGTGCTGGCAAATCGTGACGACATGTACCAATTTGTTCTTCCGGACAACAAGCGGCAGCTTTCATTGAGGTCAAAGTGGGATGTTGACGCAATCTGGGAGTTTACGATTAGAATTGTTGCAGACGCAGGGTGGTAATCTTCATCTGCGCTTCGTGTCGCGTGATTGCATGCGTTTCCGACAAATCCCGTTCGAGGACACTTTCACAGAGCAAATGTAGCCCAAAGCGCGATCAGTCTCTCTGCTTGCGCCACCATCACCAGATCAGGAAGAGTAAAGCCTGTAATACGGACCAGTTTTGTCTGGTCGATTCACCTCTTCAAGCGCAGCTAGAGCACAAATGCCAACCCATGCTTGCCGTTCAGCTGGAGAGCCCGAGATTAACGTACTCAGACGAACCCGTTGTTCCACCATATAAAGGAGCGAGAGATACATGGCGTTCATAAGCTGCCCGATTCTTCAGGGAGTTAGAACCATAACTTTCGAACCTACGACGCCTTCGGGATGTCTCTTGGTGAGTAGTAAGGAATCTACTCACGTATGCAGGCGACTTACAACATCCTGCATTTTCAGATAAATGAGCGGTATGGCTCGACATCCAACTTACATGGCCAACGTTGTATTTCTGCTCTGTGCAGTGGCACGACGACAGGCAAGCACAGACGGCCGAATCGGGCAGATAGGATGTACGCCGACACTGAGAATTGGATCCGTCAGGATTACGCCGACAAATAGATGAACAAATTATCGGCAAAAAACTCATGGCCACTTGAGTGCTACTGATTTGCACTGTATGATGGCATCGGATTGTAGGCATTGCTAGCAATGTAAAGTAAGTCCAGGCCTGGTAGATCACACAAGGACAATGCGATGGCGATGATAGAGTAGAACAGTCATCCTTGGGACCAAACGGATCTGCATCGAACGATCACTGTGATTATTTGATGTGCGCTCTGTCTTCACTCATCTCTGATATAATCTTGTCTTCGTCGACCATATGCGTCAGTAGTTAGAGCTATTCGACTCAAACGAGCTCGCCGTGAGCGAAGAATAAGTGACATCACTACGGCGTCCGTGGCTACATGAAGCTGCTAAGCGGACTGCCAAAATGTCTCTTTACTATCTCATGTCCAGTGAGTGCTCAGTGTCCTCCATAATCGTGTAGAGTTCGTCTAGACACGTCACTGAGGTGTCTCTTGGACTGGGTGATTCATTCGGTTCGGTATCCGCGGTGCTAAGCGGTGATACGCTAGATATCACGGATGGTGGAATATCCTGCGCTGAGACTTCGTCGGAACAAGTGGTGCCGTGGCTATTTGATTTCCAGCCAGCCAGTTCTTCTTCGCCCAAGTCTCTAATATCCAAGAACAATCGGACAGCGTTTAGTACGCGACAGTCGGTGTTGACACAGCAACGCACTTGGCGCTTCGGCGCCATGCGGTACACTGCAAGAAGTGGCTCGATGAAATGCTGCAGCGGCGCTTGTCGCTCTCTCGCAGTCTTGATATCGTCGTCACGGTGCAGCCCGAACTTTAACTTACGTCGCGGGAATTTGAGCACAGCAAGTTGCTGTGCAAGTAATTGACATGCACCGTTAGGGCATTGACGCTTGCGTCCCTTTTTCGCTGCTGTTTCCACCACTTTTGCATTACGCAACACCTGCTGTCGCAACTCTCGAAATTCAGAATAGCGCCTCTGTACGACGAACTGCTCTTTGCCAGTGTCCACGAGCAGCATAAAGGTACAGTGGTCGCTTGCACGGACGACGTCTAAGAAGCGGACGGTCGTTCCAATGATCCCATAATCGGGGATCATACTGATGCATGAGAAGCGGGTTCCAGTCACAGAATTACGACCTTTCGATGTATAGCGCGAACACTGCAGCAACTCATCGAGTGGAACGGAGTGGTGACGGTCGATGGATTCAATTACATGACGCTTTACTAACTCGCGCGTATGAAATGACAACTCCTTTGCAGTCAGCGCGGGTACGTGAATTGGTTCCATGATTCGACTAGTGCCTGGAAATTGCTGTCAAGGTTGCCTTTCTCGAAGTGAGAGTAAAGTAGACAAGTGAAGGAAGTTCATCTGGCCCTAAAACATGAACAAGTAGGACAGAGAGAAAGGCACAACGCTTGACTGTTGAGTATATTGCTGCCACAAGTGTACGACGGTTAGACAATCAGACTTGCGGAATGTCCGACATGGAAGCAGTAATTGAAAAGGCGTCAGGCAGAGGAGAAACTAGTGTTACGGGCTCATAGGGCAGCTGGACCATTTTTCATGTTGGAAGCAAAATGATTCTGAAGGTAGGAGGACCACTCCCGGCCGTTTTGCACCGCCCTCGACTAAATTAACCAGTTAAACCGAATTATTTTTGCGATAAAATGCTTTGGTACCATTTTGTGAGCATTATTGGCTTCGGTGTAGGTTGCATACCCATAAATATGGTCACTATGCTCACATATTTTGAGTAAAATGATAATACCAGGACCTTCCGAGTGAATCAAAACCCTACATATTTGAGGCAGAATTACAACTCGCAAATAGAGAAATTATTATTTGCTACAGGTATTAAGCCAACTGCATAAAAAGTAGTAGACCTATATTTGTAGTTCGGTACTGGCTAGCTGAGGTAGGTTGAATCTGGCTCAGTCGATCGTGTAGAGAACATCGATTTATCCCACACGATTCGAGTCTGACCATTTCGATTAGCATGGGCAACTTTGTACCTGATATTTAGAATTCACCGGGATTCACCACCCTCCACGGAAGCTACGATCATTTCGAAAACTGAGTCTTTCGTATTCAAAAACTTTCCGAAAGAAAACGTTTCGTCGTACAATACAACCACCTTCTCTACAAATTGCAACGGACTTGTATGGAATGGAAAAACAACGGTTGCCGATAATGCAATGAGCACAAGTGGTGCTTTCGTATTTGCGTACAGTCACAACACTATTGACTACACCATGCTACATCAGCATCTGTCATGCTCTGTTCATCTAGTACGGCTTGCCTGCTCCTATCTGCTAGATATTCATGGAAGTTCTTTTATCAAGCTAAGCACGAGCTTGCGGTACACGGGGATCGTCTTATCTGCAAATGACAACCCATCATGACCTTAAAGTGTGCTCACAACCACGTTGTAACAAAGCTATACAACAACGACGTGTTGACATTCGTACCATTAGTGCTACTGTGTAACAAGGAATGCGCTCATCGACGAGCAAATCAATTTGATGATCCAGGGTAATCGGACTTCTCCTTTGATCCAAGTCACCACACCATCAGGTAGGCGTATGTTACTTGAACATGCAGCTGTGGTGTAGCTGCAACGCTTTGTGCTGAATGACCACCACATCACATAGGATCAGTCGTGTTTCTGTAAATACACGAGTAAGTAGATGAAGAAGAGTTAGAGGTAGCCTGTAGATCATGACAACAAAGAGCCTTAGCTAAAGCATCGCTTCGGATTTCGTAAACGACTTCCAACATCGACTCAACAAGATGACGAAAACTAGGTGTGTAAAAATGAACTGCTGCCGATAAACGTTTTAAACCATGTTGTGGGCGTATGGCACTCTATAGCACGTTGGCGTTTCACACGAAGCGAAAAGCCTCCACGAACACACGAAGATGTGGGAAGAAAAGGCAGTTTTATGAGTATCTATCAATAGATTCCTGTTACTAATTTGCTGAGGTTAGGAAGCAATTGGTAACAATCGTGTCCGGTACCTAGAAAGAACGTACAATTTAATCAATTTCTAGGCTGATCCAGCCGTGGTGATCAGCAAGCGTGGTCTCTCTGTCCGTTTCATCTTGCAGCGTTTTGCACAGAGTATGCTCAAAGTTGGGTATTCCGTTTTCCAGAGTTCTACACATGTTCTAAGCCATCTAACTGCAGAATGCCTGTGCAAAATACTGTCCTTGGTGTGGGGAAATTTAACACATGCGTGTGATAGAAATCATACCTTCAGAAGGGTCTCGAAGTAGGAAGTTGCAGATAGGTATCTGTCGAACGCATACCAAAGTTTGCAGTTTTGCTGCTTGCCTTTGTACGGTAAAAGGCGATGACATCGACGGTCTAATGATGAAACAAAAAATGTTAGACGTATTAGTAAGAATGTACATATTTGATGAGGTGAGCAAAATAGCAATCGATCTTTCAAACTTTCGCTCAGACTATTTGAGCTCATAGCACGTTGTCTGTGCTTTAAGCTAATTAGCGAGTATCGCTGGATGAAAAATACTCTAGCTCATGCATCTAGTCCTCTGGATCCATATCATGAGCTAACACTTCACAGTAATGCAATTGCGCTGGTCCAGTTTATCAACTCGAATTCGAGGATGTCTATTGACGCCGTTAATGAAAATCTTACGATCGGTAAAATCGATTTAATAGAACTGCTTGATTCATGCGTGCCTGCAATCCTCCACGATAGGTACAATCAAATATCGACAACCACGAATTCGTTCTTGAATCCTTTACACATCGTGCGCAAAACCAATTCTATACTCGAACAGCAGGGTCCACGCTGTTGTCCTTTTTTGCATTTTGCCGCAAGCGACACGAAATACAATGGCTTTCTTACAGCACGCATGACCATCCAGATGATTCCGTGAATGCTGCATGAACATAGTTAGTAACACTGGAGTCGTTGATGGCAGGCTTTTCCATGGACAGGCATTAGCTCTGATGTATTATAGCTGACTACTGAAAGTGAATGGCCACATTATACTATACGTACAAAAATTAAATTTGTAGGCTACACGGATAGATTGTGTGAATACATCGAGACAGTTGGAAAACAACTCAAAAACGAGATCGAAAGTATAAACAATATTTGATTTTCTTGACAAGGTAAATATCAGAAAAAATTTAACAGATCAGTAAATACGAATTATGCAACAAGGTGACGAATATAAAAATTTACAAAAAGTCGTATGCCTTACGAATCTCACAGCGGATTTCAGTGCCAATTGTGACTCTGGGCCAAACATAGAACCATTCGTGTGTTGCCGATATGTTTCGATGCGTTCAAAGGTACAAAGCTTAATTTTGCTAGTGACAAGGCGCCTCTCTGTAGCTTTCTCCCGAAAGCTAAGCTCCGCGACCCAAACGTGTTCTGAACTGTATCAGAAAAAATACAAGTCCAGCAGGGTGATCACATTTAAGAAAAAAGTTCGATTTGACACTAAGTGGGTTACTGGGTTACACAAACGGTTGCCGTAACCAGATGTGCTAATGCGATACACACCTAAAAAGATCAGTAAAAATGGATAGGCGTATGATTGTATCACATACGCAGGTGGTGATACCTTACCTTATCGATGACTAATAAATCGTATCTATCTGTTGTAATAGGGTCTTCATAGTACGTTGTAGTGTGGTGTGGTAACAACAGAAGAACCTCAACAAATATTCCTCGATTAGGTAGCATAGTTTCGAGGATAACCTGTAAGTGAGTTTTATTATTATCTTTATGTTAAAATAAGACTAATTCCCTTTTACAATCATTTTAAGACACTTATAATGTAAGATGTATTGATCGTAAGAATCAGAAGTCTGTAATAAGATTAGTGCTTTTAGGCGTCTAAGCCCCTTGAACTATCTATTAAAACGTGCGAGCTTGTTTACAAACATAGTGTAATAATATGATCAAGTGAATAAAGACTAGGGACCCTACATCTTTAAAAACTTCAGTCTTAGCAGGATAAGAGACTTTACAATTTCAAACGTCTTCTTCTGACTAAGGAGTAAATGTAGTCCCGCTGATTAATCGGTTACGTCGTTTCAAGTGACTGAAATGTAATTGTGGAAGCAGCGTCGCCTCTGTCCTGCTGGACCCCTCTTCCTCTATTATATTGCTCTATTAATGCTGCGTCAATTGACTCATTCAAGAGCGACAAAGGAACTGTAAATATACACCCATCTGTTCGAAGAACGTGCAATTTCTCAAGCAACCTCTAGGATCAAACGCTGGGTGTATGCGGAATCGACCCCCCCACAAGCCGATCTTGGTGTGCAACCGGTTGGTGTACTCGTTTTCGTATGTACAAAAATTTGCACTGTGCATGTACAATAGCATCAGTGCGATGCCCTTTTGGCATCAATTCTTAGCTTTTTATATTATACTGACAATATTAAATCATCTGATATTACATAAATTGAATAATTCACGACCTTAATAAACCGAGTCGGCAGTCGACTTTGTAACAGGCAATTTAAGTGGTAATTTCATAAAGACAACGTAATGCATATTACGTAACTACTTAACAGGATAGAAACAGAGCTTAAGCGACATTGTCTTCGTACCATCTTTACGTGTTTGCTTTCACCAGTTGCTAAAATTAACGGTATCCATGCTAATTTTCATCTCGACGGCTAGCGCCGCAAAATTTAGCTTTCGGGCGAAAGCTGCTGAGACGCGCCTCGTCAATCAAAGAAATAAAGATTTGTGTTTTTATGTGATAGTGGCGAATTTGTACCAGTTTCTTACGAAGAAAAATCGCTGGAATCACGAGCCTTTTTCAAGCTCATATCAATCCTGATTCGTGGATTTGCAGATAAGACGAGTGGCTAACGATTGCCATTCAGCTAAATCCAGCCTCAAGTTCCAGGAGGACCGACGCAAGGTAAAATTCAAAATTGTAAAATTGAGCCGTCAAGTATCTCAAGCGAAATGTCGGAGAAACCGACTACTGATCGAAGTTACGGATATTGTATTAAAGTATAGCCTGGTGTATAAAGACGATAGGAGATTTATGGTGATTGCATGATCGAAACGTGACGTAAGCCAGTTACGAGGCTTGTGTACTACACCACAGAAGAAAAATGATCGCGAACCCAAAATTTCATGATTACACGAAGAATTCTATCACAGGGTGTGATGTGCTGTATTTGACTGGTTTACACTGCACCATCTAGTGCGCAATACCAATCTTAAGATTCCCAATTTCATTTCCAATATTTGGTTTGGACTTTTTGCGATCCAGCTGTTAAT